TAAAGTACCAAAAGCTTTTAACGGATTGGGTATGTTTTTGCATCAAGACTTATTGATTTTCTTGTTTAGGCCAATTGATCTATAAAGCCTATCAAGATAAGCTGATGACCGGCCGACTACAACTCCGAGAAGTAACGCTATTTCAATTAGTGACTCTTAAATCTTGGAAAACTTACTTGATCTTAATCAGAAATAATTCCTAGTTCTCTCAAATTGTGTAGATGTATCTTTTTGCAGTGGTTTACAGTAGATTTTTAATTCTTTGAGGCTGCCTTAAAGAAAACTGGTTGATTTATTCATAATCGTCATCTGCATATCAATTTTCAGATCGCAAATCCTCGTCCAGTGCCCGTGTTGACCGCTCTCCCGCCACCGATGCATCAACAAATGTCCAACGTTACGGTAATTTGTTGCCTAAGCGTACCTTTTAGAAAATGCTTCAATTTTGATGAGGCTAAACATTTAAGAACTCAATTTTAAGGCATTCAACAGCTACCCCAGCCTCCACTCATCATCGCTTACTTATTGAAAAGTGGCAAAAAAGTCGAGTTTTCATTATTTTTCAATTTGCGCTGGTTGATGTGAAAAGTATTTATCTCAAAAATTCACCTATCCTCCCCTTTAATTTGATACCCAAGCGCGTGGAACCAAACGTACTGGTGTCGAGATATGAGCGCTTTTGATTGAAGCAGTGGCAACTTTCTTTTTCGTTAAACGATTTAGAAGATTTACACTCCATTTTGTTGCACTCATCGAGAGCAACAAAATGGTACTAAAATCATTTCAACAGGTCAAAAACTAAAAAAGTGGGCTTTTTTCCAACTTTCCTAGTTTTTGACCTATTGAAATGGTATGTTAATCTTCTAAATCGGTTAACTACAAAGAAAGTTATAAGAGTTGCCGCAATGCCTCTTTGCTGAAATTGGGCCCTCCAAATTTCTATTTCCCATTAGGTTATTCAATTAATTGATAGAATCTTGTTTTTGTCATGTAAAAAAGGAATTGTTTTTCTGTCCGTCACACGTGGTTTACTCGGCATCTAGTTTAAATTTCAGGGTGCGCTGTTTTTGTTAGGTTGGTAATATCATGCTGACGCGTTCAAAAAATTAAAAAATTCATCGTCTACTTTTTTAAAAGTTAAAAAGCCGCTAAACCACGGCCCTTTTTTGCCTCGGCGGTCTAGGGGAGGGAGTGGTTAGCGTTCCGTCGCCAAAATGATCGGCCCAAGAGGATACCGGGTTCGATTCCCGTCCGCTCCAAACTTTTTTTTGCCTGAAATGTTTCCAGGCATGGGGTTGAAGTATGCAAATTTGAGTTATCGTTAGGCGGGTTTTTCGGCTGTTTGAACTCATATTTTTTTGCGACTAATTTAATTTTTTTGTGCTTTTAACTTTGCATTTAAATCAATTTAATTACAAAATTACAGCATCCTTTATCGAGTGAACAGCTTCTAAATGTTTCATGAATCTCGACAAGAACCTCAACAACGCAAGAGGCGTCATTCGCTTGATTGGTTTGTTGATTTTCACTGAATATTTATTTCTTTTTCATCTAGGATTTCATCGGGACATTCGAGATCACCCGACTCAACAATAGTTGATGTGGAAATTGGAACTGCACACAAACAGGTTAGTTGAATTAGTTACTATTTTAAGTTTAAGATTAACTGGTACTAAGGCAGTTTAGGGGTCATCTAACATTTTCTCAAATGTAGTTTTCCTAGGGTAATTTATGGCGCTGATCACGAAAAAAAAGCATTTTTAGGTTATGCTTTCAATTAAAAAGCATTTTCCCAAATATTAATAACCGGTTACTTCCATTTACTAAATCTGTGTCGCATTCGCGCCGTCTGCTAGAAGCCGGAAGGTAGCGGGCTTTGTGTGTTTATGGAGCCTATCGACCATCCGGCTTTGGCGACCGTCGCGCTCCGGGATGTTGCAGCCAGGTCACACGGACACCTTCTGCGCAGTAGAGGTGCTGAAGTCGAGGTAAATATATGGCGCCTAAGTAAAAACAAATGAAAAAGAATAAATTAAAAAAGTTTTTCGTGATTAGCGCCATCAATTACCCTAGAAAAACTACATTTGGGAAAATTTTAGGTATCCCTCCCCCCCAACTGCCTTAGTACCGATTAACTTTGTTGATTTAGAGAAATTTGAATCAAACCCCTTCTCCAGAAATGTCTCAAGATAACATCCAATACCAGCCGTCAAGCGACAACACTCGGAGGTGGTTTTTGTATTATTTTCTCTTTAGCTGCCTCTTTTTAGACATTTCGATGCTCAAGCCTCCTCGACAAATCCTGTGCCCAATCCTGCTTCAATAGCGCCAATTGTTCAACAGTTACTTGTTTTAGTTTTACAATTCAGCCTTTTATTTTTTAGATTAGCTGATCAAATGACCGTTGCTTTTGGCGAAATCTCTGATGCTTTTGAGCATCTTTCAAATTTGAAGGTGATGATCACAGTAGATGCACTTATGCGATTTTATTGCCCCAGAAAGACATTTGTTACATTGAGAAAGCTTCAAAGTCTACCTATATTTAGCAATTCCTCCACAAACTGTCTCGCTTCCAACTCGCTATTTTTCAAACTCCACCTCTAGACCAGACCCATCGATGTCAAATAAAGAAAATGGTGCTAAATGTAAATGTAAGTGGTTAAATTATGATTAGTATTTAATTTTGGCTTAAATAGAGCTCTACTAAATAAATAAAACTAAATAAAATAGTTCAAAAAGATTCACAAAATTAACCCCAAGATCTAAACTAACATTTATGAAGATGATTTTTAGCATATATTCTTGAAACTTTTGCAGTACTTCTGAAACACGTTAGTTTTACAAGTTATCCACCTTTTAGAAAAACGCTATTCGCGAGGAACATAATGTAAATATGAATACCAGAAAATTACCAATAAATCATGAATTTCAGATGGGTCTCTGCCGGTGTGAGTGGCGTGAAGAAGAGGTTGAAGTCATTTTTTGGCGGCTCTCCAAAATAAAAATCGAGAACATTGTCGAACTATTTCATTTTGTCAATAAACTATCTACTATGCTTTGTTTCATTTTCCATTTGGTTATCTCATCCAAAAGATTATCTGGGTTGAATTTTAAATACTGTTTACTTGTCAAATTATCGTTTTAAGCAAAAACAAACGGCTTTACGGATCGATGACTCACTTGCCAAACAGCGCTTTCCTCTCGTCGGATTCGTCGGATGCCGAGAACCGGGATTTCGAGCAAGTGAGTGGAAATTTATTTACCTAAGCATTAAAACATGGAGAAATTGAGGATTACTGTACTTTTGAATACTACCATAACGCTGTTTCAATTAGTGACTCTTAAATCTTTGAAAACTTACTTGATCTTAATCAGAAATAATTCCTAGTTCTCTCAAATTGTATGTAAATGTATCTTTTTTGCAATGGTTTACAGAACGGGTTGATTTATTCATAATCGTCATCTGCATCTCAATTTTCAGATCGCAAATCCTCGTCCAGTGCCCGTGTTGACCGCTCTCTCGCCACCGATGCATCAACAAATGTCCAACTCTTCATCGGCGATTCCTCAACAATTTGACGCTACACCGCAAGGTATACAAAGAATAAAAACAATAAATTTTGTACTGTACTATGCATTGAAAAAATTTCTTTGCAAATTGATCCATTACGAGTTTTTAGCAAACGATTCTGGCCGTCAAACGATGTCCTGCCAATGGTTTCCTGCCGGGATTCCAACTGCACCAGCTCCAAATTTGCCGGTACTTACGCAACTTTATTATTCTTCAAGGAAATTTAAGCAAGATCATTTTTATTTATATTCTGCGTAAAGTTTAAGTGTTTATTTAAATCTAGAATTTCAAGCAATTCCCAATGGACTTCCCCCAAGCAGGATTTCCTCCAACAGAAACTCCTCAAATGCCACCTCAAGCTCAACAGATGCTCAACGGAAATATGATGGGCTTTATGCAGGATCCAAATTTTATGCAGCAAATGGTAGTTACAAGTTTGATTTGCTTCAAAACATTTTCTTCTAGATGCTCCTCATGCAACAAATGCAGCTGCAACCGCAACAACCGATGCAACAAAATGGGACATTCAATCCAAATCCAGCTTTCCCGGGTTATGGAATGCAACCAATGCCGGGTAAGAACTTTGCAGCTTTGAAAGTTTTAATGTAATGAATTTGAAGGGACGCTTAAACCTCTAAAAGGTGCATTTGAATAAGCTATACCCCCAAATTTAGTCACCAGGCTGGAGACAAGAAGCTGGAGTCAAGTTGTGCAAACAAAACCGGAAAAGAATATTTCCGAAATTTGTTCAAATCAGCCTAGATACACTGCTCCATCTCAAGAAATTTCATCTCAAGAGACGCAAGTACCCGAAGTCAAAAACGAGAAAAACGAGTGACTACAGAAGGGAAGTGTCGAAGTGCGAGAATTCGGCTCAACGACGAAAAAGTCGATCAATATTTTGGTGCTCGGACAGACAGGAGTCGGGAAATCAACATGGATAAACGCTCTTGTCAACTATTTAACTTACAAAACACTAGATGAAGCGATTGCTGCCGGGGCACCGATTTGCATGATTCCAACTAAATTCACAATGTATGACAACAATTATCAGAGACACGATGTCCATCTTGGAGCACACGACAATGAGGTTTTTGCGGACAATGGTCAAACAGCCACTCAAAGCGCTAAGACGTATCTCTGTGAGCAAGATGAACACAATATTTATATCATTGACACTCCAGGAATGAATAATACCAGAGGACACTTGAAAGATGAGGAAAACATTCAGAATATTCTTCGATCAATCGCACCTTTCAAAGAGATCCATGCGATTTGCTTCCTTTTCAAAGCGAATGAGGCTCGTCTCACGCAATCTTTCCGCTACTCGATCGGGAAATTGCTTGGGAATTTGAGCAAAACGGCGCTCAACAACGCTTGCTTCGTTTTCACAAATGCTAGAGGAACTTTTTATCGACCGGGTGATAAAATGGGACCGTTGAAGGCTTATTTCAATGAGCTGAAGGAGAAAGAAGGACTTTCAGTGAGAATTGATGACGGCAACATCTTCTGTTTGGACAATGAAGCTTTCCGATTCGTTTGTGCTCATTTCTGTGACATTCAATTCGATATAAGGGAAGTAAAAACGTTTGGTGATAGCTGGAAACATTCGTCCGACGAAGTACAGAGATTGTTGGATCACGCTGCACGAGCTCGTCCTCACCACACCTCGGACACGCTGTCAATCAATGACACTCGGACTTGGATCTATCAGTTAATCGATCCAATTCTCAAAGCTTGTACAATGATTCAGAGAAACTTGCAGCAACTGGATTGGCAGAAGAAAGAGCTGATGCAAGCTGAGAACAATGTTGAAGAATTGCGGAGATTGGCGACGATTCGAGTGACTTCAATAGAAATCTTACAGCTATCGATGCCCCAAACCGTTTGTCGGAGTCAAAAATGTGCAAGGTATGAAAGGATTGATGGAAAAGAAGCGTTGATCTACAGGGTTTGCCACAAAGATTGCAAACTAAGCGATATTGGAAAACTAGACGGATGTGCAGTCTTTCATGGTTGCAGGTTCTGCACTGAATGCTCCTGTCACATAAATGATCACGAGCGAATCTCGTACGAACAACGAATGACCACAAAATCTCTGGAAAACCCGCAAAAACTCGCCTCAGACGCGAATGCTGCCGAGATGAAGAAAACCTCGATTCGAAAAATTGAGCGACTCATCAATGGATATCAAAAAGAATCCAACTACATTTTATTCGCAATGACAACTTTTTAGCGTTCCTTGCTGAGAATGGGATCACTCAGCAAACGAATCTTTTTGAACAACACTTACAGAAACTGATTGTTGCCGAAGAAAAGAAAATGAAAAGCGTAGCCGGGGTGGATGCGGAGGAATTCAATCGATTGCTCGAACTCAGTGTGACTTATGGAGATATTTGCAAACAATTTGTTCATCAACGAGACTCGGAAAAGATCTCACTTGATGAGCTGCAAGAAATTCGACAAAAGTTGTTCTCTTTACCGCTGAATGGCGCAATGATTGCACATATTTTCGATATTCATGTGAAAACCGATCATCAGGATTATGAGGCTACTGTGACACGCTGCGAGAAATTGATGTTTCAGTGAGTTTAGCAAAAAATAGATAGAAAAATAGAGACATAGATAAAATAAGTCCCAGTCTTTTGCTCATTGCATTATATTAAAATAATTTCAGCATAGCCATTTGCACAAATCCAGCTCTTGCAGCTGATTTTTGAAGTAACCAACTATCTAGCATTCAGATAACCCTAGAGTCGTCGAAAAGGTAGCTTTCCGAATTAGCCAACTTTTAGAAAACGCACCACTCATTGAAGCCTATCAACTAGCTTAAAATAGTAGAACTTAAATTCTTAATAGCCTAAAATAGTAGAGCTTAAGTTTTATTTATTTAGCAGAGCTTAAATAGAGCTCTACTAAATAAATAAAACTAAATAAAATAGAGCTTAAAGTAATTGAAAAAGATACACAAAATGAACTCCAAGATCTCAACTAAAATTTATGAGGATAATTTTTAGCATGTATTCTTGAAACTTTTACAGTACTTCAGAAAATAACGATAAATCATAAATTTTAGAAAAATTTGTGGTGGTGTGAAGAAAGTGTTCTCGTTTCTTGGTCCACCAAGAAAGAATAATTTTAGTAAAACAGTAATAACACAGTAATTTTTAGCATGTATTCTTGAAACTTTTACAGTACTTCTGAAACACGTTAGTTTTACAAGTTATCCACCTTTTAGAAAAACGCTATTCGCGAGGAACATAATGTAAATATGAATACCAGAAAATTACCAATAAATCATGAATTTCAGATGGGTCTCTGCCGATCTCAACTAAAATTTATGAGGATAATTTTTAGCATGTATTCTTGAAACTTTTACAGTACTTCAGAAAATAACGATAAATCATAAATTTTAGAAAAATGTGCGGTCGTGTGAAGAAAGTGTTCTCGTTTTTTGGTGGCTCCACGAAATAATCCAAGAAAATTATCGAAATTTTTCATTTTTTTCAATAAACTATCTATTATGCTTTGTTTCATTTTCCATTTGGTTATCTCATCCAAAAGATTATCTTGATTGAATTTTAAATACTGTTTACTTGCCAACTTATTGTTTTAAGCAAGACAAACTGCTTTACGGATCGATGCCTCAGTTGCAAAGCAGCGCTTTCCTCTCATCGGATGCCGAGAACGACGATTTCGAGCAAGTGAGTGGAAATTTATTTACCTAAGCCTTAGAGAAATCGAGGATTACTGTACTTTTTAATACTAGGGTAACGCTATTTCAATTAGTGACTCTTAAATCTTTGAAAAATCACTTGATCTTAATCAGAAATAATTCCTAGTTCTCTCAAATTGTATGTAAATGTATCTTTTTGCACTGGTTTACAGTAGATTTTTAACTTCTTTGGGGTCACCTCACAGAGAACGGGTTGATTTATTCATACTCTTCATCTGCATATCAATTTCAGATCGCAAATCCTCGTCCAGTGCCCGTGTTGACCGCTCTCCCGCCACCGATGCATCAACAAATGTCCAACTCTTCATCAACGATTCCTCAACAATTTGACGCTACACCGCAAGGTATGCAAAGAATAAAAACAATAAATTTTGTACTGTGCTATGCATTGAAAAATTTTCTTTGCAAATTGATCCATTACGAGTTTTTAGCAAACGATTCTGGCCGTCAAACGATGTCCTGCCAATTGTTTCCTTCCGGGATTCGAACTGCACCTACTTCAAATTTGCCGGTACTTACACAACTTTATTCTTCAAAGAAATTATAAATTGTGATAATTTCAGCAATTCCAACCAGCTCCACATTCAAACAATGTCGGGCCTCCGAGTTTTGCTGACAATGGGATGCCATCGGTATAAAGAAAAGTGTTTTTGGATTTTAAGCAAGATCATTTTTATTTATATTCTGCGTAAAGTTTAAGTTTTTATGTAAATGTTAATTTCAAGCAATTCCCAATGGTCTCCCCGCAACCGGGCTTTCCTCCAACAGAAACACCTCCAATGCCACCTCAAGTTCAACAGATGCCCAACGGAAATATGATGGGATTCATGCAGGATCCAAATTTTATGCAACAAATGGTAGCTACAAGTTTGATTGGTTCAAAACATTTTCCTCTAGATGCTCTTCATGCAACAAATGCAGCTGCAAGCGCAACAACCGATGCAACCAAATGGGGCATTCAATCCAAATCCAGCTTTCCGGGCTATGGAATGCAACCAATGCAAGGTAAGAACTTTGCAACTTTGAGTTTTGATGTAATGAATTTGAAGGGACGCTTAAACTTCTAAAATGCGCATTTGGATAAGCTGTACCCCCAAATTTAGTCAGCACGCATTTAGATACAGTCATGCTGATTTAATTTAAAATACATACATACTTAGTTTGTTTCCTAAGCGTACCTTTTAGAAAATGCTTCAATTTTGATGAATCTAAACATTTAAGAACTTAACTTTAAGGCATTCAACAGCTACCCCAGCCTCCACCCGCTTACTCAGCATCACAAACTCCTGTTCCACAGAAATCCAAGCCAGAACCACAAAATGGTAAATAAAACATAACTGTTTTTCAATTAAAATGAATTCCAGGCAAGCCAAGCTCTTCGAAAAATTTGCTAGTTTTGCCGGACTTGCCCACTTCTCATCAATCGAAGAACAACCAATACTCTGGCCCTCGAAAAGAGATCAACATTCTTGTACTCGGTGAAACGGGAGTCGGAAAATCGACGTGGATCAATGGCATTGCAAACTATATGAGCTTTGATCACATCGCCGATGCATTGGAAGCACCAGAGCCGATTTGTGTCATTCCATCAATGTTCACGATGTGTGACGAGAACTATCAACAACGACAAATCGTCATCGGAAACTCGACGAATGAAGTATTTGGACAAGGACAAAGTGCAACACAAGACGCTCGAACTTATCTCTTCCCACACCCGAAATATGATGTTTATATCATCGATACCCCTGGCATTGGAGATGTTCGTGGAATTGAACAAGACAAGGAGAATACAAGGAAAATTCTGAATGCAATTGCAGCTTACAAGAATTTACATGCAATTTGTCTATTATTCAAATCGAATGATGCTCGGATGACGTTGAGCTTTAGATATTGCATTGGAGAGTTGCTACTTCAGTTGCACAAAGATGCCGCCAAGAATATCGTGTTTTTCTTCACGAATGTGGGACTTTCTACAAACCAGGGGATACAATTGTTCCTTTAAGAGCTTTTCTCGATGAACTTCAAGCGAAACACGGGATTCAAGTGGCTCTCGATCGGAGCAATATCTTTTGCCTGGACAATGAAGCTTTCAAATTCGTTTGTGCCTATCACGATGGAGTTGAGTTTAGCGAAGATGACATGAAAAATTTCGAAGCAAGTTGGGCAAAATCGGCCGATGAGACGCATCGCTTCCTTGACTATGCGGCTGGATGCAAGCCGCATTCTGTTGACAAGACTCTCTCAGTGAATCAAGCTCGTGGAATCATTCTCCAACTCGCTAAACCCTTGGCTGACATCAATGAATTGATTGAGACAAATATCAAAGTGTATGATGATCGAAAAGTCGAGATTGAAAACACGAAAGCGACGATCAATGATTTGCAACAGAAGTTGTTGATCCCACAAATCGGGATCAAAACCGAGGAACTCAGCTATCCGATGACCGTCTGCACTGGCCCGAAATGCATCGAAACGCAGTCGATTCCGAACAGTGAACAATTGCAAACGATCTACAAACAGATTTGGCATGATCACTGTCAATTGGACAACGTTGATCCCGAGAGATTCCCTGAGCCTCATCTACAACAATGTTGGGCAATGCAGGGTGGGCAAAGCTGTACAGTTTGTGGTTGTTTATGGTCGACTCACATGCACATTCGCTTCAAGCAAGTGAAAACGAACGAATCAGTTGAAGATGTGAACATAAAGAATGCAATTCAAACGAATGAAGACGCTCGAATCACAAAGCAGAAAATTATCGAATCATGTGAGAAAATCGTGAAAGAATACAAACATGAACAGAAAACTGTGATGGATTCAAGTATTCGTTTCGCGGTTTTCTTGAACCAGAATGCGATTATGACCTATAATGATGTTTTTGAGAAATATGTGGAAAAGTCGATTGAGGAAGAGGAAAAATGTATCAAAGCGGGCGGAGATCGAACGAAACTGGCCAATCTGAAGCGCTCTTTGGATGAGTATCGACAGGGTATGTGATTTTGGAGTCCAGTAAGAATCTAGAATTTTTAGGCAGGATTAAGGATAGGTCATTGTAGCTACACTTTGCGCTTTGAAATTACAGTATTTTCAATTTCAAACGCTCTAGAAAACCTAGAAAGTTTAGAGGAACTCATTCAAATGAAAAATAGCTGATAGTATCTAAAACCTAGTGGTATTTCTTTAATCAATCAACCACTTTGCAGAACGAGCGGCTATTGAGCACGCCTTGCAATCCGGCGGAAACCATCAGCAACAGATCACCACTGATGATGTCAAGAATATGAAAGCCATCCTCTTTGCATTGCCTCATTTTGGAGCAAAACTCAAAGAACTCTTTGAGCAAACTGTTCGCGGATATTCGATGAATCAACAACAAAGCGTGCAGAAGTTTGCCCCACCAACGTACACTGCAGCCTCTTCTTCTGGTGGTGGAAAGAAGTGGGTTAAATTGAATATTTAGTTAAAGACAAAGATATTGTTGTTACTCAGTGTCGGTCTAATACTTTTTACCGGGTACTAAGCTTTGGGTCTTACAAAATACTTGGCAAGATTAAACACACTTGAAAATTTTCAGACGTGGTCTTCTCGACAAGCTTCGCCGCATCTTCCCCAAATAAGAGAACAAAAAAGAGCAACTTTTGAAGAGAAACAGACAACAGAAATTCCAATCACCTATCTTTTATTTAATTTTAATATCTTTCATCTGCATCAAATTTGGCTTAAAGTTTTTTTTTCATTTTTCCTACCAACTTTTCCATCTTTTTTAAAGTTGACAACACAGTTTCTTCGTATTTTTGTAATTTTTCAGATAATTGTAAAATAAACTTTTAAAATCACTTTGCAACAGGATTTGGTGCAAATGGCAAATGCAAAATGATGCTAATGCTTACAAGGCTCGAGTGATTCAGGACTGGCGCAAGCAGTATTTTCCCGATTTGGCCACTTTTAGTGGCCATCCTGAGAACCCGATCTTAATTCAATGAATTTCAGTGTTTCGAATGTTCTTGAAGCAACAACATGCTCAAAAACGCATCCCAGCATTGATTCGCTTCAGAAGTCCCTTCAAAAAGCATGTGACAAACTCGATGCCGCTTTCCATTTGGTCACGGTCGATGCATTTGCCAAATGTCACAAGGTCCATAAATATCTTTTTAAATAGAATTTTTTTTTTCTTGTTTAATATTACTTTAAAAATCAATTGTTAAAGTTTTTGAGTTAATTTCTCTTTTATCGGTTTCTATCTTTGAAAAATATTGGTTGCAATAGTCTTGCCGCGCCCCGTAGAATGAAAACACCTTTAACTTAAAAAAAGGCTAATTTTTGTTTATTAACGTTTTTGTTTGCAGTAGAATGCCTAAATCTTTAATTTTTAACGTCTCTTTCTCTAGCCACTAATCATTGATAGATGCAATAAGGTGCTGGAGTAGGTATGTACAGGGTGTCCGAAAAAAAAGCAAGTTTGCCTCAAATCTCCTCAAAATCTTTAGTGGCACTTGGTGGTCACTCTGGTGCCAAAAGTGTTTTTTTTTTCTCTGAGGAAAAGAAATGTTGTGATACGTTTGTTTATTCTAAAGGCGCTTTTTATTTTGCAGCCAATAAACAACCGATACCGAAAGCAAAATCTTAAAAATTGGGCACAAAAAGTGAAGAACTTGACGATTTGTCATTTGTTTAGATGGCCAACATGCAGTCGTGGAAATATGTATTTTCGCCTTGGTTTCGGAGTTGATTTTAGCAAAAATTAGAATGAATCCTTCATTTCCCTTCCCCGTTTTCCCCCTCCCCGCAATTCTGATTTTACAAACGTTCAGAGATTCTCAATAAATTCAAATCAGTTGAAAATGGGGGTGCTTTGATCAAAGCAACACCATTTATCGCAAACCATCCTGGAAATTCTATTCGACTTCCATTCGAAAGCCTTCCTACCTGCCCCATCATAATCTTACTCGTGTTTACCAGAGAGTTGTCCTAGTAGTACGACCATCCATCAAGCAATGTCTTGTTAGCAAATGGAAGTAGATGTTGCTCCAGTATTGATATGTATTGCTGGGAGTCTATCGTTGCATTTACCATCACAAGTGGACCGACCATACTTCTTGTCATTGCTCCTAAAAACTAACAAAAAGTATACCCACCCCAACACATAATATTGGGTTGGAAAATAATGTGAATTTTTAACTTGTGCTCTTGGGAAAATAATGGCAGACAAACAGAGAAAACCACGATAGTAACAGAGAAGCAGAGTGTGCTTGCTTACACAATCATAATATTATTCAAAAACATTTGTTCATTTGTTATCAAATAATGAAGGAACGCAAATTCCTTACTCCATGACTTTAAGCTTGGAAAATCTGCCCGGGAATCGCATAATTCTATTTCAAAAGCCTATGGCGAAGGTAGTATTAGCGAAAGCCAATCTTATTGAAGTTTGAGCGATTTCGAAGTGGAAACGAGAGCCTAGAAGATGAGCCTCACGAAGGACGTAAAACTGTCACAACTGAGCTTTACAGTGAGCAGTTAGAGAGTGTGAATCAAGCTTTATCGAAATCTCGACATGACACTTAAAAAATTCGGTTTTTGTATGATAATGCAAAACCGCATACGGCAAAGATGATCCTCCAGCAAATCGAAGAGATGGGCTGGAAACCTCTACCTCACGCCCTATCAAGCCCTGACTTGGCCCCATCAGACTACGGCTTATTCAGGTCTCTAAAGCAGTTCATCTCCGATCAGCTGTTCAAGGATTCCCAGGGAGTCGAAAATGCGGTCACTAACTATTTTTCTTCAGAAAGTCCCCAGTTCTTTGAAGATGGAATTATTGAATTGAGCAATTGAGCATGACGTCCTAAATAATAATGGAGAATACCTTTTATATTAATCCTCTTTATTTATTGTTTTTTGAAATAAAAATTCGGGTCAAAAAAAATCGCATTATTTTGCCGCCAACCTGATACTTCCGCCGCCAAATCGAACCATGGGCTTGGCGTACTTGAGTAAAAGACGCGTTCCAATAGGTCGTCTGATCAATGGAGATTCATCTGATTAATAGAGATTCACCTTTGTTTCATCAGAAAATATCGCTTCACTCCAATCATCGCTCGTCCAACTTTAGCACTTTCGAGCGAAGGCCAAACGAAGTTTCCTGGTCCGAGCGGTCATCTGTGGTTTTTTTGATTGGGCATCTCGTGTCCAATTTTGCTTCAATGAGTCGATTACGTACCGTCCTTATATTAAATACTTTTGTTAAAAATTGACTTGTATAACCGTTGTCCATCGGTTGAGGTTAGGGATGGATTCTGTTTGAAAATTTAAAAAATAAAAATGATCTTGCTTCAAATCTAGAACACTTCTCTTCATACCGATGGCCTGCCGTTGTCAACAAAATTCGGAGGCCCGGTATTGTTTGAATGTGGAGCTGGTTGGAATTGCTGAAATTATCACATTTTATAATTTCCTTGCAGAATATTAAAGTTATGTAAGTACCGGAAAATTTGGCAAGTAAACAGTATTTAAAATTCAATCTTTTGGAGGAGATAACCAAATGGAACATGAAACCAAGCATAGTAGATAGTTTATTGACAAAATGAAATAGTTGTTCAATGTTCTTGATTTTTATTTTGGAGAGCCGCCAAAAAATGACTTCATCCTCTTCTTCAAGCCACTCACACCGGCAGAGACCCATCTGAAATTCATGATTTATTGACAATTTTCTGGTATTCATATTTACGATATATTTCTCTTGAATAGTGTATTTTCTAAAAGGTGGATAACTTGTAAAGCTACCGTGTCTTTTTTAGATTTGGTCAGATTTACTTAATTTTGATCACATTTGATGAGGAACCAAATCGTGAAGCCCACGGGATCAAAATTAAGGTTAACTAAACACTTATTCATCGATAAAAAAATATAATTGTCGAAACACCCCCTGAAAATCGTGGTGCAAAACTCTTTTCACATTTGCAAAAATTTTTATTATTTTCGTTCGCTTCGTATTTACTGGTACTATTTTATTTTTTTAGATGCCAGGAGCGTACTCTTCAACTCCGGATAAAGAAAGGACCGTCGAGGCAAGGAAGGAAGGAATCCCACGACAAGACGTTGCTCGTCTCTTAGGATGTACGCCCACAACAGTTCCTCTTGTTATGGCAAAAATGAATGCGTCTGGAAATGTGCACAGATGTAGGAAAAAGGAACGGCCGTGGATTACACCAAAGAATGAAGACCGATTTCTTACGGGAGCTTTCAAGAAGGGTCCGAATTTAACGTAGAAACATGGAGCCATTCTTTTCAAGCAAACTTCAAACAAGAATATTTCCCCTTGGGCCTTGCATCGCGCCTGCTTCAAGCAGCATTGTATACTAGAAGACCTGCTTTCAAGCCTAGGTGCTTTAGTTTCTTTAGCTGCGATGTGTAAAAGTTCAACGGGTCCACTTCTCCTCGTAAATCAACAATGGATTCCCGCCAATATATTGAAATATTGGGCAGATATCTACTTCCATTTGCGAGTGCTTCGATGAATCCAGGATGGTTTCTTTATCAAGATAATTTGCCAGTACACAAACGCAAACTTTTGATGAGCCGCGTTGTGACTCTCTCGAATGGAGGAAAAGCACATTTACCGGACCGATCACGTGTCTTTGATCAAAGCTCCACCATTCATTAAATGTTATCGAGAATTTATGGGCCTATTTGAAATCGAAATGGTGAGGAAAACTATTCAATTCTAAAGTCGAGCTATGGTTTTAGATCAAAAAAATTTGGAGAACGATTGGACCTGGAATTCTTGATGAGTTAATTACATTGATGCCTAATCGTATTAAAGAAGTACTTTTGGCAAAAGGAGGAGCGACTAAATATTGATTAAAGCTTAATTTCGTTTTTTGTGAAAAGACTTTTGCACCACGATTTTCAGGGGTGTTTTGAAAATTATATCTTTTTCTCGATGAATAAGTGTTGTATAGCGATAACGTTTGTGTAAATAAATTGTACATATATTTGTGTAATTAAAACTATTAATAGCTTAAAGATAGCCATGCACTTTATAAAAAAAAATTGATGAAACTTTTTAGAAAATTGGGCGTGAAAAGACTTGTGCACATGAATGTATCGTCATAAATGTTAGTTTAGATCTTGGAGTTCATTTTGTGAATCTTTTTCAATTATTTTAAGCTCTATTTTATTGATTTATTTGTTTTATTTATTTAGTAGAGCTCTATTTAAGCTCTACTAAATATATAAAACTTAAGCTCTACTATTTTAAGCTAGCTGATCGGTTTCAATGAGTGATGCGTTTTCTAAAAGGTGGCTAATTCGGAAAGCTACCTTTTGGAAGACGCATTACTCTAGGGTTACTCTAGGGTTCCCGGCTAAATAGTTAGTTACTTCAAAAATCAGCTGCAAGAGCTGGATTTGTGCAAAAGACTGGGACTTATTGTATCTATGTCTCTATTTTTCTTCTATTTATCTATCTATTTTTTGCAAAACTCACTGCCAATCCAGTTGCTGCAAGTTTCTCTGAATCATTGTACAAGCTTTGAGAATTGGATCGATTAACTGATAGATCCAAGTCCGAGTCTCATTGATTGACAGCGTGTCCGAGGTGTTGTGCGGGCGAGCTCGTGCAGCGTGATCCAACAATCTCTGCACTTCGTTCGACGAATGTTTCCAGCTATCGGCAAACGTTTTTATTTCCCTTGTATCGAATTGAATGTCACTGAAATGAGCACAAACAAATCGGAAAGCTTCATTGTCCAAACAGAAGATGTTGCTGTCATCAATTCTCACTGAAAGTCCTTCTTTCTCCTTCAGTTCATTGAAATAAGCCTTCAACGGTCCCATTGTATCACCCGGTCGATAAAAAGTCCCTCTAGCATTTGTGAAAACGAAGCAAGCATTGTTGAGCACCGTTTTACTGAAATTTCCAAGCCATTTCTCGATCGAGTAGCGGAAAGATTCCGTGAGACGAGCCTCATTTGCTTTGAACAAGAAACAAATCGCATGGATCTCTTTGAAAGGTGCGATTGATCGAAGAATATTCTGAATGTTTTCCTCATCTTTCAAGTGTCCTCTGGTATCATTCATTCCCGGAGTGTCAATGATATAAATATTGTGTTCATCTTGTTCATACATATACGTCTTGGCGCTTTGAGTGGCTGATTGACCATTGTCCGCAAAAACCTCATTGTCGTGTGCTCCTCCAAGATGGACATCGTGTCTCTGATGATTGTTGTCATACATTGTGAATTTAGTTGGAATCACGCAAATCGGCGCCTTGGCAGCAATCGCTTCATCTAGCGTTTTGTAAGTTAAATAGTTGACAAGAGCGTTTATCCATGTTGATTTCCCGACTCCTGTCTGTCCGAGCACCAAAATATTGATCGACTTTTTCGTTGTTGACCCTTTCGAGAAATCATCCTGAAAATTTCGTTTAGTATTTGAAAATGGTATTTAATCCTTTAATAGAGCGGTGTTAACATCTGAAAATTATCATGATTTTGTCTTTAAGATTGTAGTTTTTAAAGAATGACACGTTTTAGTAAAAACATTTACATTTTTAAGTTCTAATGAAATAAATACACTCACTTGTTTGTCTTCTCTCCACAAATTCTTACTTAAAGTGTTCAGGAAGAGTTTTGCTTGTTCGGGTGATAGATCTTGTAGACGGGCGTTGATATTGTGGGCGTTCAGTTGGGCTTCACGAATCAAATTCGCATCTTGGTGTCCGTTAGGCGAATCGACAGCGTTTCGTTGCTCAGCCAAAGTCGAGGCTTCAAGCTCCATGTCATCAGTTTCCATCGACACCGGTGAAGCGTGAGGAAATTGAGAAGTCATATCATCTGAAAAAAATCACTTATTGTTATTGAAATCTACTCTAGCTTGTTTTCAGAATTCGTCAGTGTGCCAAATGGAAAACGTTTATGAACAATTTCCTTGGTTTAGTTGCCCACCTTGTGCGTCATTAGAGGAAGGAAGTCTAGCGACCATTCCACAAAAAATGAACTAAAACTTTAATCAACTAAATTTCTAGACTAAACATGAGAATGAAAAGTTTTCGATAGCAAATGGACCAAACCGTTTTTGAAAGCAGCCAAAAGAGTTAATCAGATAAATTTATTGATAAGAAACAAAGGTTTGTGAAAAAAGGAAATGATTGCTAGTTAAAGAACATCAATGAACAAAAACCACAACTTCATGAAATGGTTCTATTTTCTATTATTCTCGTTCTTCTTGTACTTGTTTTTATTGTTGTTTTGTTGTTGCTTCCCCCGTCCACCGCTCGAAGGCGCCGGGCTGAAAAGCGAAATGTAAAGGTTTACTGAAGGTTTACTTTACCGTAACAAACATTGAAGTATGTTCTTTCCGAGCAATGCTTTTCTTAAGGACGCTTTTTGTAGAAAACTATCATAATTAAATTGTCCATAATTAAATTGTCAATTTGCATTTAATCAGCTCGATTTTACTACAGGTTTTAGATCAAGACTCTACTTAAGCTGAAATCCAAGTTCCATAGGAGTTATTTCTGATTTTAAGCCTCACCTGGCATAGCGCCATTGTGTGCAAATCCGAAAGAGTTGTTGAAGATTTTTTGTTGATGATTTGGATTCATATCATTGGATTGCACTTTCGAAGGTTTTGCGTCTTGTTTATGACCTAAATTCTTTGGTCATGCAGAAGGTATTCATAGTTCACAAAACACATCCACATTTTCAGTAATAAAGAAGTGAAGGAATTGGCAAGAGAAAGTAGATTTCCGGAGAGGGGATTGAACCCTCGAAGTCAAGTATTGCAGGTATGTCAGATAAGAGACCTATCAAAAACCCACGGTCTTTAGAGTTTGAGGTTTCAACTCTCTGTAAATGATTCCCATTTGATTGTTTTGGAGCCAGCGGAATGCTGGATGGAGGCTGGGAATGGAGAGAGATATCTAAAAGTTTTCCACTTTAGTACAGCTTTATGTTTTTTAGAAAGGTTTCGTGTTTTCATTCATGAGGCTATTCGAAAAACTGACCATTGGAAGACTGTAGCATTTTCCCGCAAAAGTTCCCAGCATTGCTACTTGTTTCGGAAAGTTGCGGCGAAATGGGGCGCGGAGGTTCCGATCGAGCGACATAGTTGCCCGAAAAAAAATCCCATGATGACTTTAACAATATGCTTTAACTTTAATAACAACAACAATAAAAGTATCTAAGGTCTAAAATGTATGTACTTTTTCTCGCACACACTCTGTGCTTTATATGCACTTTGTGTTCACTAGACGCGCCTAAACGCATTTCTGGTGCACCGATTTCTCCATTATTTTCTTCCTATAGTGGCGTTGATGTAAGAATTGAGTGTGCCCGGAGGGGTGCGTGTAAGTGCTCGAGAACAAAATACAATAACTTAAGTGTCTTTGTCCCGATAATCGTAGAAAACTCACAAAACAACGCTAACTTATGGTTTTATATATGGAAAGGGAAGTATCAGATGGAATGAGATTACGCGCGCGCACAAAGAACCCTAGTCAATCACAAAGAACACATCACTTCTAGAAAAAAACAAAAGCAAAATCAAAGGTGGGGACCGAAATTGTGAGGTCTCGCTCTGGAAAACGAGCGCTGTACCACGGCTACACCGAGCTCCGCCCGCAAAGAAGCCGCTAAGACCCAAATGACCACACTTTCAAAGTCCTAACAAAATTCCAGACAATAGTCAACACTTTCAGAGTCCTAACAAACGCTTATCACTCGTGACAGAATGTCATTTAGCAAAAACGGAATTCATATTCGAAATCAGCATAAAATTCTGCGTCGAATGGTATAGGGCGCAAAGCATTTGCGTTCCCTTATCAGTATGAAAACTTTCCTTTCCTAAAACTAACCATTCGAAGGATTTGTCGTACTCCCGTACAAGCTCCCAGCGTGGCTGTTTTGTGAAAGCTGAGGCGAATCAGATGGCGGTGGATGTTGAGGTCGTAATTCTTTCTTGTCTAGGATTAAAGCTTTTGATTTTTTGGATAAACATGTTTATCCAAAACAGAATGCAAACGTTTAAACGTTAGTGGGTCGTTTTCCATTTCATACTATAAATTAAAATCGACAAGATGTTTACCTCTTTGCTCGAACTTTTGATCGGGAGCCTTCCGAGAAGTACCACCGTGATACCCATCCACTCTCGTCGGCTAAAAGTTTCAAATCGCTCTGTAAAACCTCTTACACGTCATGCAAGCCTTGACATTATGACCGGTCTTGAAAAAGGAATCAAAACTAAGTTAAGGGTATTCTTGAGCTCACCCGTGCTTTGTTGTTTTGACGTTTCGTTTGTTGTTCCGGAAGTGGTTCGAATCGTTGTGCCTGAATCGATTTGTAAAATTTGTCTCAAAGTTTTAACTGGAGTGTGTTCATCTCAAGTCCACTTTTGCAAAGTATCTTTTCTCTATTTTATCCAATCGAAACCCTCCCGAATCATCTCAAGAGTAGCGTCTAACTTGCATAAAACTAGAGGCAAGCAAGTAAAACTACAGCAATTGTATTTATCGAAACTCTTATTGCAAAGGATGCACGTTTTTCAACCTAATTATAAGCTCAACCCACCGGTGATTTGTAAGCATAAAGCGCTAGATGTTTCAGTTGACGCATCTTTGGGAGTTGCGGCGCACATTCGACAACGATTCGTTGTACATTTTCATCAGTAAATGTCACAATTACAATTAATTAATATTTCTTATTGAAAAGGCACTTACATGCGCTTTCCAGAAACGGCCTCGTGATCGAAGCAATTGCGATTCCACTGATTCTTACAGGAGAACACCTTCTCATTGTAGCTGACTGAAATCAAAAGAGTAAATTGGTGAATGAATTTAAGCTAATCTTTTGTTAAATCTCAGTTCAATAGTTGATTTTAAAACTCACAGAACTTTCCGCAACGAGTGCATTTCAAGAAGGAGAAAGCTTGCTCGAAAAGAGACATTTTCGAAACAAATTCGAAGATTAGCGAATCTAAATTGAAAAATAGGTAAAGAGAAATGGTTTTAAAAGTGAAAAGTGAAGAGAAATGAATTCTCCTTTGAGCGATTTCTCCTTTTATATCGCTACCGATTGGTACGGTTTAGGCATTATTCGACATCTGTTGGCCAAGGGGAAGGAGAAGATGTGATTTGTGCAAACGGCTCGATTAGATCAAAAAAATTGAACGAGATAGTACGAAAGAGAAGAATAATTGAATGGAAAATGGGAAATCCGATAATTTTCGTAATTTTTCGACGATAACTTAAATAAAATAATAAAACGTTTGAATAGAGTAAAATCTCGTTATTAACCCATTCGAAACCGCAGCGTTTTTTCTTTTTTTGTCGTCTGCGGACCAAGCCCTTTTTTGACATTTTTGAGTCCGAAGCAGTTTATCTAGATGGTTGGAAAGGTTTAAGAGAGTCTCCTACACCATTTATTTTTGATGAAGAACGATTTGGATTTGACTTCAGTACTTTTCAAGATCCTATAGATTATTATTCTTATTTTATCGACGACAAATTAATCAAAATGTTAGTAGGCGAATCTAATAAACATGGAAAAAGGAAAACAAAATGGCAGGATTTCGATGCATAATCTTTCAAGCTCTTCCTGGCTCTGTATCTTCAAATGGGAATCGTCAAATTACCGAGGATTCGTGACTACGTAGCAGGATTAGGAGGATTTTCCCACATTTCCCACATTATGTCAAGAACAAAGTTTGAACCTATTCTTCGAAACCTGCGTTTTTGTGATAATGAACTGGATCCTGCAGGAGATCGGCTTTATAAGATTAGAGCTATTATGGAACATTTCAATGCAAAACCAGAGGCTGCATTGATTCCGGGTAAATATGACACGTCTTTTTTGCCCACGTAATTTGTAGATCTGTTACCATTGGAATATATATGTAATGCTGAAAAACAGCAAAAAAAAAACCAATTAATTGAATGAAAATAGCTCAATTAGCGCTGCAGCGGTCCGTTCCTGAGTTTTTGCTGCAGCGATTATTCGCTGCGGAAGTTTTGAATGGGTTAAACGGGTTTTTGAACCGTTGTTCGTTTCATGTACTTCGATAGCAAAAGAATATAAAGAATCCTTGTGAAATGTGTTTTTGAAAGCCGTTTAGAAAAAAAAGGCCAAGAACCGAATGAATTTTAAATTTTAGAGTACCCTCATCATCATAACTAATAGAAAATAAACTTTATTTATACCCATATTATTCACCAAATCTAGATAGATAAAAACGTAAATCACGAAAACCCAAAACCAAATGCAAATTATACAAAAATACTATGAGACGGTACCAAATACTTGTCGCTCACACAAACGAATGAATAAATTTACCTACGCTAAATAGGGAACACAAAATCACAAATAAGTGCCACAAATAAAGCAAATAATAATTTAGTTTTATGGCTTCGCTCTACTACAAATATTAAAAGCAAAAAATCACACTAACGCCTGAAGCAGCAGTGGCAACAAAGCAGCTGATTGTTTCCATCTTCCAAAACCAAAATCAAATGATACAAAAATACTATGAAACGGTACCAAATACTTGTCGCTTACACAAACGAATGAATAAATTTACCTACGCTAAATAGGGAACACAAAATCACAAATAAAATAAATAATAATTTAGTGTTATGGCTTCGCTCTACTACAAATATTAAAAGCAAAAAATCACACTAACGCCTGAAGCAGCAGTGGCAACAAAGCAGCTGATTGTTTCCATCTGGCTCGTCGTGTTTCCGATGTTCGTGAAGGCGATTTCGAAGGCGGTAGTACATTCTTATTCTTGTTGGCGACCACTTTGCGACTTGCGCCAATGCTCATGACTCCAGTATGCCGATTACTACAATTGGCACACTGGAATCATGAGCATTGGCGCAATTCGCATAGTTCCTCTTTTGTCTTTTGTCGAAGTTCTTCTTGTTCGCCATTTGAAAGAATGATTGGATGAATAAGAATAAGAATGAAATAATTTTGTGCATCTTGTTTTAATTGACGATTAAATGTACGTTAATATACACAAATTTGCATAAAGTTAACATATTTCTGTCTGTTTGTCTGTCTGTCAAGAGAATTTGCATTCAACCCCCAAATAAAACTAAGGCACAATCGGGAATTTATTTTTTTCGTCGACTTGTTCTCCGAAAATGGGCGTGAGTTTTTACATTTTCAAACTTTATATTTTGTTTCCATTGCTTAGTCGAGGAGCATTAATTTAACTTTAAATACATCATGGTTTAAACAAAATCTGTCGTTTTTAGGAGACTCCTAGTCGTAAGAAGAAGAGAACATCTTCACAAGCACCACCACCGCCCAAGGTTTGTTGCTTTTTTTGAGATGAAAGTAAAGACTCGGGGTGTTAAAATGACGTAAACGTTATGACGTAAGCGCTTTTCACGTTTCCCATAAATTGTTGTCTTTTTAGGGATATCAACCGCCACCTCAAATTGTCTAAGTTCAATCACCACCGCCAGTTTACTATCCTCTAGTAAGTTTATTGTTTTTAAAATATTGAATGGTTCTAAAAACTTCTAATGTGTCTATTTTCATCTTATGGATGAAAAGTTATTTTGCGTATTTTGCATTTACACAAGTGGACCGACCATACTTCTTGTCATTGCTCCTAAAAACTAACAAAAAGTATACCTACCCCTGCACATAATATTGGGTTGGCGGGAAAATAATGTGAATTTTTAACTTGTGCTCTTGGGCAAGTACTGGCAGACAAACAGAGAAATCCGCGATAGTATTAGAAAAGCAGAGTGTGTTTGCTTACACAATCAAAACATTTGTTATCAAATAATGAAGGAACAAAAATTACTGATGCTTTACTCCATGACTTTAAGCTTGGACAATCTGCCCGAGAATCGCATAATTCTATTTCAAAGGCCTATGGCAAAGGTAGTATTAGCGAAAGCCAATGTTATTGATGGTTTGAGCGATTTCTATGCTTAATGTTCAATGTTCATCATCAAACGTTCAATGTTCATCATAGTACCATTGAAAAGCATTTACATTTGATTGGAAAGCGAAACAGATGCGGAAAATGGGCCCCACATGAACTGACCCTCAATCACATAATTGCCCGTATGAACACTTGTTCAATTTTCATTCAAAAATCAAAAGCGCATGATTTTTGGAAATCAATTGTTACTTCTGATGAAACGTAGATATTATATGATAACGTTAAGTGCAAGCACCAATGGCTATCACCAAAGCAAGCTCCGGTTGTCAAGTCAAAACCTGGTCTGTATGGAAAGAAGTTGATGTTGTGCTTATGGTGGAACTATAGTGGATTGGTTTATTTTGAATTGTTCAAATCGGATAAAACTGTCACAGCTGAACCTTACAGTGAGCAGTTAGACCGTGTGAATAACGCTTTATCGAAATCTCGACATGAGACTTCAAAAATTCGGTTTTTGTATGATAATGCAAAACCGCACACGGAAAAGATGACCCTCCAACAAATCGAAGAGATGGGCTGGAAACCTCTACCTCACGCCCTATAAAGCCCTGACTTGGACCCATCAGACTACCACTTATTCAGGTCTCCAAAGCAGTTCATCTCCGATCAGCTGTTCAAGGATTCCCAGGAAGTCGAAAATGCGGTCCCTAACTATTTTTCTTCAGAAAGTCCCCAGTTCTTTGAAGATGGAATTATTGAATTGAGCAAAAAATGGCATGATGTCCTAAATAATAATGGAGAATACCTTTTATATTAGTCTTCTTTATTTATTGTTTTTTGAAATAAAAATTCGGGTCAAAAAAATTCGCATCATTTTCCCGCCAACTTAATACTTCCGCCCCCAAATCGAACCATGGGCTTGACGTACTTGAGTAGAAGACGCTTTCCAATAGGTCGTCTGATCAATGGAGATTCATCTGTTTGATAGAGATTCACCTTTGTTTCATCAGAAAATATCGCTTCACTTCAATCATCGTTCGTCCAACTTTGGTACTTTCGAGCGAAGGCCAAATGAAGTTTCCTGGTCCGAGCCGTCATCTGTCGTTTTTTGATTGAACATCTCGCGTACAATTTTGCTTCAATGAGTCGATTACGTACCGTCTTTGCAAAAATACTTTTGTTAAAAATTGACTTGTATAACCCCTGTCCTTCGGTTGAGGTCAGAGATGGATACTGGTTGAAAATTTTGATGATCGATCGATCGATCGATCCTCGGTTGTTGCATCATGTCGACTACATTTCAACGCTCTTCTCACACTTATTCCAGCCTTCGATTTTGCTACAAGAAGTTGAACAGTTCTTATAGTGCATCCAAATTGCTCGCTCGACTAAATCTTTTGCTTTCATTTCCTTTCTTCGCTCTTCAACAAGCTTTTCCTTGCTCCGAGTAGATAAATATGGGATTTTAAAAAGAAAATAAAGCGACATTTTAAAGACATATAATTCATATATATGAAATAACAAGCAAAAAGCAAAAACAAAGTCAAAATACTTTTTTTCCACCTTTCTTCATGATTGTTTTCTGACATTGTTGATTTTCTAGCTTATAATAAGCTAATGTTCAAAACATTTCCTATTTTTGAAAACTGGAGTCTTTTAGCTCTTTAATACTTTTGATCGTTTTAAATTCGGTTGACTTTGAATGCTTTAGTTT